CAACGATTTAAAGTATTTTTAATATATTTAATATATTTTAATAGATTTTTTCGTTAGGTTTAGAATGATTTTTACGAAATTATTGCAAACACAAATTTTCGTTTGTCTTATTCAGAAGAAGAGCGTTGCTGTTTAAGCCAAAATCGCAAGTTTTACCTAGTCGGCACGACATACATATATATATAAGGTTCTTTTGGTACAAAATTATTAATTTTTACTTTAACATAAATGAAAAAAATGTATCTTTAAATGTATAAGAGAAAATTTTAGAAAGGACTTAATTTTAGATTAGTTCTTGCCAAATTACCAACTTTACCTATTTTTCACGACATTATCTATATATATATATATATATCCTAGGTAGTAGGCTGGTAGACAGCAACCACCCAGGGAGGTACTACCGTCCTGCCAAGTGAGTGTAAAACGAAAGTCTGTAATTGTTTTACATGATGGTAGGATTGCTGGTGTCTTTTTTCTGTCTCATAAACATGCAAGATTTCAGGTACGTCTTGCTACTTCTACTTACACTTAGGTCACACTACACATACATGTACAAGCATATATATACACACCCCTCTGGGTTTTCTTCTATTTTCTTACTAGTTCTTGTTCTTGTTTATTTCCTCTTATCTCCATGGGGAAATGGAACAGAATTCTTCCTCCGTAACCCATGCGTGTTGCAAGAGGCGACTAAAATGCCGGGAGCGAGGGGCTAGTAACCCCTTCTCCTGTATAAATTACTAAATTTAAAAAGAAAAACTTTTGTTTTTCTTCATGGGTCACCCTGCCCCGGTGGGATACGGCCGGTGTGTTGAAAGAAGAAAAATGAATGTATATATATATATATATAATATATATATATATATATATATATATATATATATATTATATATATTTTTCAACAAGTCGGTCGTCTCCCACCGAGGCAGGGTGACCCAAAAAAAGAAAGAAAATCCCCAAAAAGAAAATACTTTCATCATCATTCAACACTTTCACCACACTCACACATTTATATATATAAATATATATATATATATATATATATATATATATATATATATATATATATATATATATATATTTCAAACAAGTCGGCCGTCTCCCACCGAGGCAGGGTGACCCAAGAAGAAAGAAAATCCCAAAAACAAAATACTTTCATCATCATTCAACACTTTCACCACACTCACACATTATCACTGTTTTTGCAGAGGTGCTCAGAACACAACAGTTTAGAAGCATACACATATAAAGATACACAACATATCCCTCCAAACTGCTAATATCCCGAACTCCTCCTTTAAAGTGCAGGCATTGTACTTCCCATTTCCAGGACTCAAGTCCGGCTATATAAAAATAACCGGTTTCCCTGAATCCCTTCACTAAATATTACCCTGCTCACACTCCAACAGATCGTCAGGTCCCAAGTACCATTCGTCTCCATTCACTCCTATCGAACACTCTCATGCACGCCTGCTGGAAGTCCAAGCCCCTCGCCCACAAAACCTCCCTTACCCCTTCCTTCCAACCTTTTCGAGGACGACCCCTACCCCGCCTTCCTTCTCCTATTGATTTAAATGCTCTCCATGTCATTCTATTTTGATCCATTCTCTCTAAATGACCAAACCACCTCAACAACCCCTCTTCTGCCCTCTGACTAATGCTTTTATTAACTCCACACCTTCTCCTAATTTCCACACTCCGAATTTTCTGCATAATATTTACACCACACATTGCCCTTAGACAGGACATCTCCACTGCCTCCAACCGCCTCCTCGCTGCTGCATTCACAACCCAAGCTTCACACCCATATAAGAGTGTTGGTACTACTATACTTTCCCTTCTTTGCCTCCATAGATAACGATTTTTGACTCCACATATACCTCAATGCACCACTCACCTTTTTTCCCTCATCAATTCTATGATTAGCTTTATCCTTCATAAATCCATCCGCCGACACGTCAACTCCCAAGTATCTGAAAACATTCACTTCTTCCATACTCCTCTCCAATTTGATATCCAATTTTTCTTTATCTAAATCATTTGATACCCTCATCACCTTACTCCTTTCTATGTTCACGTTCAACTTTCTACCTTTACACACACTCCCAAACTCATCCATTAACCTTTGCAATTTTTCTTTAAAATCTCCCATAAGCACAGTATCATCAGCAAAAAGTAACTGTGTCAATTCCCATTTTGTATTTGATTCCCCATAATTTAATCCCACCCCTCTCCCGAACACCTTAGCATTTACTTCTTTTACAGCCCCATATATAAATATATTAAACAACCATGGTGACATTACACATCCCTGTCTAAGACCTACTTTTAACGGGAAGTAGTCTCCCTCTCTTCTACACACCCTAACCTGAGCCTCACTATCCTCATAAAAACTCTTTACAGCATTTAGTAACTTTCCACCTATTCCATATACTTGCAACATCTGCCACATTGCTCCTCTATCCACTCTATCATATGCCTTTTCTAAATCCATAAATGCAATAAAAAACATCCCTAAATTTATCTAAATACTGTTCACATATATGCTTCAATGTAAACACCTGATCTACACATCCCCTACCCACTCTGAAACCTCCTTGCTCATCCACAATCCTACATTCTGTCTTACCTCTAATTCTTTGAATAATAACCCTACCGTACACTTTTCCTGGTATACTCAGTAAACTTATTCCACTATAATTTTTACAATCTCTTTTGTCCCCCTTCCCTTTATATAGAGGGACTCTACATGCTCTCCTCCAATCCCTAGGTACCCTTCCCTCTTTCATACATTTATTAAACAAAAGTACCAACCACTCCAACACTATATCCCCCCTGCTTTTAACATTTCTGTCATGATCCCATCAGTTCCAGCTGCTTTAACTCCTTTCATTCTACGTAATGCCTCACGTACCTCCACCACACTTACAGTCTGCTCTTCTTCACTCCTAAAAGATGGTATACCTCCCTGGCCAGTGCATGAAATTACCGCCTCCCTTTCTTCCTCAACATTTAAAAGTTCCTCAAAATATTCTCGCCATCTACCTAATACCTCCCTCTCCCCATCTACTAACTCCCCTACTCTGTTTTTAACTGACAAATCCATACGTTCCCTAGGCTTTCTTAACTTGTTTAACTCATCCAAATTTTTTTCTTATTTTCATTAAAATTTCTTGACAGTGCCTCTCCACTCTATCATCTGCTCTCCTTTGCACTCTCTCACCACTCTCTTCACCTTTCTTTTACTCTCCATATACTCTGCTCTTCTTATAACACTTCTGCTTTGTAAAAACCACTCATAAGCTAACTTTTTCTCTTTTATCACACCCTTTACTTCATCATTCCACCAATCACTCCTCTTTCCTCCTGCCCCCACCCTCCTATAACCACAAACTTCTGCTCCACATTCTAATACTGCATTTTTAAAACTCACCCAACCCTCTTCAACCCCCCCCCCCCATTACTCATCTTTGCACTAGCCCACCTTTCTGCCAATAGTCGCTTATATCTCACCCGAACTTCCTCCTCCCTTAGTTTATACACTTTCACTTCCCTCCTACTTGTTGTTGCCACCTTCCTCTTGTCCCATCTACCTCTTACTCTAACTGTAGCTACAACTAAATAATGATCCGATATATCAGTTGCCCCTCTATAAACACGTACATCCTGGAGCCTACCCATTAACCTTTTATCCACCAATACATAATCTAACAAACTACTTTCATTACATGCTACATCATATCTTGTATATTTATTTATCCTCTTTTTCATAAAATATGTATTACTTATTACCAAATCTCTTTATACCCATAGCTCAATTAAAGGCTCCCCATTTTCATTTACCCCTGGCACCCCAAATTTACCTACTACTCCCTCCACAACATTTTTACCCACTTTAGCATTGAAATCTTCCACCACAAGTACTCTCACACTTGGTTCAAAACTCCCCACGCATTCACTCAACATTTTCCAAAATCTCTCTCTCTCCTCTACACTTCTCTCTTCTCCAGGTGCATAAACGCTTACTATAACCCACTTTTCACATCCAACCTTTATTTTACTCCACATAATCCTTGAATTAATACATTTATAGTCCCTATTTCCTGCCATATCTTATCCTTCAACATTATTGCTACTCCTTTAGCTCTAACTCTATTTGAAACCCCTGACCAAATCCCATTTATTCCTCTCCATTGAAACTCTCCCACCCCCTTCAGCTTTGTTTCACTTAAAGCCAGGATATCCAGCTTCTTCTTATTCAAAACATCCACGATCATCTCTTTCTTATCATTCGCACAACATCCACGCACATTCAGATTTCCCACTTTGACAATTTTCTTCTTCTTCTTCTTTTTAGTAATCTTTACAGGAAAAAGGGTTACTAGCCCATTGTTCCCGGCATTTTAGTTGACTTTTACAACACGCATGGCTTACGGAGGAAAGATTCTTATTCCACTTCCCCATGGATATAAAAGGAAAAGTAATAAGACCAAGAACTATTAAGATAAAATCAAAGAAAACTCAGATGAGTGTGTATAAATAAACGTGTACATGTATGTGTAGTGTGACCTAAGTGTAAGTAGAAGTAGCAAGACGTACCTGTAATCTTGCATATTTATGAGAGAGACAAAAGACACCAGCAATCCTACCATCATGTAAAACAATTACAGACTTTCGTTTTACACTCTCACTTGGCAGGACGGTAGTACCTCCCTGGGTGGTTGCTGTCTACCATCCTACTACCTAGGATATATATATATATATATATATATATATATATATATATATATATATATATATATATATATATATATATATATGTGTGTGTGTGTGTGTGTGTGTGTACTCATACACACACACACACACACACACACACACATTAAAGAGTTTAAAACTGGTAATAATCTGAACACAAACATGTACTAACATCTAACTTCTTGAGACAGATCATAATTTTTTTTCATCTCTAAAAAAATAATGCTGCAATGTTTTTTTTTTTTTTATAATATTACATACTTTGTAGCGCTAGAAAGTTTAATTTATTAATGCTGTTCTGGATGTCATTTTGTATTGAACTGAAGGATAAAATTAATAATTCTTTGCATGAGGAAAAAATATAAAATATAGTAAAATTTCTATTGAATTAAGTTTTAAAATGGCTTTCAGACATTTTCTGTGGAATTTATTCTCAGTTTCCAGTCTCTGTATCCTCAGAGGATTTTCATTTATTGTCACTGCACTCAGAATGAACTACCGATGCCTGAGTAACACAAACGACCTGTTTACAGTAGAAGTATTATTATTCCTCACCTTGGTGACAGTTCCTCGGTTATCAGCGGCGATACAACATAGAAAACGGAAAGCGGGATGGATCCAAATGACGCTCTACTGAAAATATTGAAGACAATGCTTGTAGAAAAACCTGATATTGGCACAACAATTCTCTATAGGTAGAAATTTTACGAAGAGCATTGTTGTTCCACTAAAAGCTTGCTCTTCATCATGTCTTTTCTTGGGAAAGGGGTAATGTGACTATGATAGTTAACAACACACATCAATGTAGCAGAGCAATTACGAGAGAAACCTAGTAAACCAAAAAAAATAAATTGTCTGACTGCAAAATAAAATTTTAAATTACATAAATACCTACGAGAAATGGAATGATATTATGAAAGTGTGATAATAATTACATGTCACCTGCGATAAAAAAACAAATTGAAAATGGGATGGTAACTGCTGATAACTGTCTCATCGATAATGAAATATAAACACACAAGACGTAAGGAGACAGAAGCCCACACCAGTGGCATGCTAGTCTCAACTGGAGGAAGGAGGAACGACGATGGTCTTGATGGTTATATAAAGTCACCTTCACCCCTTATCTGACGCACGTGTGGAGGTGATGGGACCTTGCACAAGCTTGGAGCTGGGACATAGGATCATGAGAGACGTCTCCTGATGCCGGGAGCACGCCAGAGCCATCAGGACCCCCGACGGCAACTCCTGCGGCTCCGTGATGTGCCATGGGTCCTCTGGTGGCCTGGACTAGGAAGGTCTCGCTCTGGCGGGGATCGAATTTCGTTTTATCCACGTGGGCGAGAGAATAGTCACAGTAGCCTGTGTCGACGCGCTCCATACCTGCATGGTGCAAAGGATCAGCCTTAGTCACATTCGTATGAGTAATGTTTACAAGGGGAATCAAGGTTTACATAGGTATTAAGGCTTATAAAAGTAACCAAGATTTACATTAGTAATTAAGCATGACATCGTGCCTAATAAGCCGAATCATCCAGTTTGGCCTATTTAGCAAACAAAAATTGATATGAGCATTATTAAATAAATATCATAGATTTAATGTAGTAATATTAAATATATTTAAGTTGACCGATGGGTCATCGTCTGGAAAAGACCCCGACCCGGACAGTACCAGGGAACCTACTACTTACTTCCCTAATTGTAGGGAAGTTACGTGAGATTTCTAAGTTAGTTTTGGTCTAAATATAAAAATAATTATATTATTATTAATGAAAAACATAACTATCAATCTGTAAAATAAATTTTTGGAAAAGTTAACTTTTTTAAGGGATTTCAGCCTATTCGGTAAGCCTAGTTTATTTAGTACGACACACACATATATACATTATATACTTATATACATTATATATATATATATATATATATATATATATATATATATATATATATATATTATATATATATATATATATATATATATATAATATATGCTTAATTCGCAAACAGGCCAAATTATTTACAAACATTGTCTCTATGTCCACAGCAGGACTCGAACCTGCAAATCAGAGTAACCAGTACTTTACCACGGAGTTAGACCCCAGAATGCTTGGGTCTAGCTACATATATTTATATATATATATATATATATTATATATATATATATATATATATATATATATATATATATATATATATATATATACACACACACACATTAAGCAAATATCGCAAACCAAGCGAAACAAGATGCAAAACAACCACAGGGGGAGCAGAATGACAGCTCTAGACCTTTCGTGTTGCAATCAACACATCATCAGGAGCTTGCAAAATGTAGAAAAGAGGAGGGTTTCCAAGCGAATACGTTCCCAGGCGGACAGCGTTCACTAGAGTGAGAGTGGAGAAGGTACCGGAAGTGCCCACAGGCACAACGAACGTATTCGTTTGGAAACCCTCCTCTTTTCTACATTTTGCAAGCTCCTGATGATGTGTTGATTGCAACATGAAAGGCCTAGAGCTATCATTCTGCTTTAACACTTTCACCACCACTCATACATAAACAATGTCTTTGCAGAGTCGCTCAGATACGACAGTTTAGATGTTCCTCCAAACTGCCAATATCCCAAACCCTCCTTTAAAGTGCAGGCATTGTAATTCCCACTTCCAGGGCTCGAGTCCGGCTAACTGGTTTCTTTGAATCCTTTCATAAAATATTACCCTGCTCACACCCCAACAGTCGCCCTTTCCCCCAAAACCATTCTCTCCATTCCCTTCTTCAAACAGCCACGCACGTTTTCGAAAACCCAAACCCCATTACCCAAAAACCCTTGACCCCCCCCCCCCCAACTTTTGGGACGCCCCCTCCCCCGCCTTCCCTTTCCCCCTAAGATTTATAAGTCTCCTTGTTCCATTTCTCTAAATGCCCCAAATACCCCAAACAACCCCCCCTAAACCCTTGATAATACTTTTATTAACTCACACCTCCTCCTTTTTTACACTACGATTTCTCTACTTTAATATTTCCCAAACATTGCCCTTAAAAGGGACCTCCATTTTCCTCCACCCGCCCCCTCGTTGAACTACAAACCCCCAAGGTTCACACCCATTAAGGGTTGGTCCACTATATCTTGTAATTCTCTTCTTTCCCTTTTGGATAACATTTTTTTGTCTCCACAGTCCCACAACGCCCATACCTTTTTTCTTCATCAATTTATGGTTACCCTACCCTTCAAAACCCCCACCGCTGAAAAGTCAATTCCCAAAATATCTGAAAACATCACTTCTTCCATACTCCCCCCAATGTAAAACCCAAATTTTTTTCTTTCCCAAATTTTTTGATACCCTTTCATTTACTCTTATCATGTTCACTTTAAAATTTTACCTTTACACCCCTTCCCCAAAACAAGTTCATAACCTTCGAACTTTTCTTTGAATCCTCCAAACACGTATCATAGATAAAAGTAACTGTGTCAACTCCCTTTTTGTTTTGTTTTCCCATAATTTAATTACCCTCTTTAAACCCCCTAGCATTTTTTTTAAACAAAATCTTTTATATATAAAAATTTAAACAACCATGGTGACATTACACACCCTGTCTAAGCTTATTTTCCCGGGAAGTAGTCCCCCTTCTTCTACACCCCCTAACCTGAGCCTCACTATCCCCATAAACTTTTTACAGCATTTAGTAATTTACTACCTATTCCCTACACTTGCAACACTGCCACTTGCCCCCTACCCACTAAAATACGCTTTTTCTAAATTCATAAATGCAATGAAAATTCCCCCCTTTATCGATTACTGTTCACTATATGTTTCAAGTAAACATTGTTTAACCCCCCTACCCACCAAAGCCCCTCCTTGTCATCTGAATCCTACCTCTGTTTTACCTTTAAATTTTTTCCCAATAATAACCCTACCGTACCTTTACGTGGAAAAGCGTAGGGTACGAGGCAGGTCACTAATAGATTGAATTTGCGGAATTGGCTCCCGGTTGCACGTGGTTTCTGGGGGGAAGCCCAAAGGGGCAAGGAAAGTTGGGGAATTTGAAGTCGGGATATTGCTGCAACCCCAATTTAGTTAGCCTTTATATTGAGCGGGCGATTTTCGAACATCAACATTTCTAAAAAATCTGTCCTTAACCCATTTGTGAGGCTGGGTACCCACCTAGAGCTCGGTGTAACAGGTTGGGGGTAGGCGCTCACTTGGAGGCAGTCCACAAAAAATTTTTACAAAAGTGTCCTTCGAAACCGTGTTTGTGGAATAGTGGTTAAATATATAGGCCACGTGGGAACAGTTTAACGAGTTAGGTTAAGTTACAACCTGGGCCCAGAGTTCACAAGCTGGCCAAGCGACTATACACAAAAGTTTTTTATTTGCGAAATTTACAGGCGGCCAGGTGGCTAAAAAGCTTGTGAATTTAATTTATTTACAGGATTCAGAACCGGGTTAGGAGTTTGGTGTTAATTATTCATGATTTTTTTGTATACTCCCTTTTATTGTGTGATTTCATTGTCTTTGATTCTTTTTTAAAGTGGGATTGTAAATTTGTCCGGGGACTAGGTTAACCCTTTAAATTTTTTGTGGTTGTACAGGAAAGTGCGGGTTAAGCTTTCCATCGATACACATTTTTTTTTGGGATTTGAAGCAAAACGTGTCATTTTAATCGGTGAGTAATATAAAAAAGGGAATTGAAAAATTGTTGAGAACCTTGAGACTCTTTTCATTCTTACCTAACCCTTTGGTGCGGGGGGGGGAGGGGTAAAGTAAAATTGGCACACTCCTAAAAACTTCGACAATGGCAGATGGAGTTTCGGGGAGGTCTGGTTCAGTGTTAAAAAAATTAAAATGATCAGTAGCGGCATACAAAGGGCTCTGAAAGAACGTGAAAAGGTGCAGGCTATTGCCAACGCAGTAACGGACTGCGGTTTTTGCAAGATGCTTGAAGATTTTGGGGGGAAAAAGGGGGAACCCATGAGCAAGCATTCTCAGATAGAGCTTCGGGCTACGGGGAAAAAAGAATCCCAGGGTAGTCTTCAGCAGGTCTGGACGAATTTCCTAAGGTGTAGTTGTCTCAAGAGAATATGTACAAAGATAAGTTAAGTACTTTAAAGGCTGTTTTCCCAAGGGGGGTGTCGAAACCGCGGGTCCCCCAAAACAGCCACACACCTGCCATTTTTGCCCAGGTTCCCCCATTTGAATTTCCGACATTTGACGGAACCCTGAGTACATTGCTTTCGGGGATCAGCTTAAAACCCCAGATAGATCCCAGGACGTTTGTAGTGCCGTCAATTGCAGTTTTGCGGTGCAGTCAAGGGAAAAGTTTTTAACCGGCCCGGGCCTACCGATTATGACACAATTACCAACTTCCCAAAAACCCAATTGAAGAATGTTTGGAAAACAAAAAGAGAAAAAAAGTGGCCATGCTTTTTTGGGTTATTGTCTAGGGGCTGCCGACAGCCATAAAACCCTAGAGAAGTTCTGTATTGAAATTATGACTTGACAAATTTTTTCAGAGATTGCAGATGAGGATGTTTCAGAAGGGCCCTTAGCCAGGTGATTAGAGGAAATGGTTTGTTTAATTTAAAGTCTGATTGCACTTAAAATATGGGGAGAATAGGTTCGATAAACAAATTTGGGGGGTTGGGGGGGGGGGATTCGTTTTTCATTTGGAAGGTGTGAGAGAAGAGGTCCCCCATACCACTAAAACCCGGGACAGTCAACCAAAATCTCGAGGTTTAGTTAAAGCCTAACGCTAGCGTTGGAGTGTCTAGGGAAAAGAAGTTTTAAGGTAAGAACTTTAACAAAACCCTCGAGGCATCATGCCAGAATATGCGTGTTCTGAAAGGCGAAATGCTAGCCGGTTTCGGAGTTATAACACTGAGCAGTGGCAACAGAACAAGGGGATTTGGGAGACTTGCTTCAAGTGTTGTGGGGAACACTTTGCGAGGGACTGGGGCCCCCAGCTCAGTGATGTCGAGTCTGTTGCAAGGTAAGCACCATACGCACTATGTCCAATAATTTAAGGGAACCCCCAAGTAGTAGGGAAATCTCCGGGTAGAGATAGAAAGTGAGCCCACCCTAAAATGGTGCCAGCGTGATTAGGGGGGATGAAAGTCTCTAATCCGAGTGGAATCACGGAGGTGCTGCCCTCCCTCGTCATGGAAAAGGGGTTTGGGAATGGGCACAGGTCCGAAAAACCCGTTATTTTTTTACCAGGAGCAAAAAGTATCCTTGATAACAAAGAATGGTGGCAAAATTTAAATTTGAAGGCCACAAAAAAGTTTTTGGGATCTGGGAGAGGCTATAAGTCAGGCCCCCCCCAAATTTTATGCGGGGGATGACAGTAAAATTGGGGACACAAGAGACATTAACCCTTGGTGGTAGGA